TTGGTTGGCGCGTGCTGTCGCACATCGGGGTGGACGTGCGCCGGCACGGCGCCGGGGTCAAGCAGCGCGCCGCGGTCACGGCCAACGCCTTCAACACCGCCTACCGCCTGTGCGTGGTCATGGCGGTGCTGCTGACGGCGCTGGGAGTGATGGGCTCCGCAGAGCGGCCCACCGGCGTGGACGTCGCGCTCATGGTCATGGCCATCGTCGGCCTCTTTGTCACCGCGGCCGCCGTGGCGGTGGTGGTGGTGGCGCTGGCCCAGCCGAGACCCACGCACGGAATCGCCAGGTGACACACGGCGGGCGGCATTCTGGGTGGGGGGGTGGTCGAACCACATGTCCTGAAAATATACCCACATGCAGGGCAGGGTGTGACCCTCCGTGTTTGTGTGTGCTCCCCCGACAGACGTGTGCTTTGCTCATGCATAGCTGCCGAGCCGGTTGCACCATCCCCAGCCAGCAGCCAATCCATTCATCCCATCCACCCCCCCCTCTCATGTTCCCACGCCGACTCAGCCCCGAGTGCGTAGCAGCGGCGCTGGCTGCGTCCCTAGTCCAGCCCATCTCCGTCATCATCCTGTACTCTAACGACCACGACCAGCGCCTCTTCTCGGCACGCGTCTCCCTCAATGTCGTGGCGGGCTTCAGCATCGGCTCTACGTTCGCGTGAGCAGGGGCAGGGGCTGTGTTTCTGTCGTCGAGTTACTGTGGGGAGGGGCATGTGGATGACGTCAGGAACAGCCTTGAGAGTCTGCAAGCAGCCATCCCAGGCCACTACCCCGCTATGCGCCCACGAGCTCATGCCCACTGCCCCGAGCCCATCTCATCACCAACCCCCTGTCCCTTTCTGGTGCCCAGACTCCTCGCCCTGTATCGCCTGGCGTCGGCGCAGCGCAGCCTCCTCTGCCTCGATAAGGCGCGTTTCAAGCTGCGCGTGATCCCCACCGCCGCTACCTCACGTACGTGGGAAGCCGGGCAGGGGTCGGTGGGAGGTGTGGCTGATGGCATTTGTGATTGCAGGCACGAGGAGCTTGCGCTTGCAGTGCTTGCGTGAACGGGTGAGGGGATGCCACCACTGGCTGCTGTCTGGGCTGGCTCCAAATGCTTGAATCCTTGCTGCCGCAACATACTCAACACACCAATCCACATGTCCCGCAGGCAACATGACCTTGCTCCCCCTCCAGTTGGGGGGATGGCTGGGCAAACCCATGCCCAAGAACCCTGGGAAGTTGCGGTACTTCCAGCTGTCCCACGACGCCTGTACCCTACGCTGGGGATGGAACAAGTGCGTGGTTTGGGCATCCTGCCCTGGTGCTGTGGGGATGGAGACGGGGCGCTTTGTTCTTGTTCCAATGAGGGGGCGGGGCTGGAAAAGGGTTATGGACAGCTTTGCAAGGAATCCAGAGGAGGTCCAGATGAGACCCTGTGCTGCGACACTGCATGATGACGGTGATGGCACAGCATGTTCCCATCGTCCCTTTGCCCAGCCGGATGCCTTCAACGGCAAGTTACCTCCACCTCAGCTTCCCCTCTCCCCCAACCCCTCCTCTCTGTGCAGGTTTGTACGACTTTACTATTTGCAGACAATGACGACCGACATTGATAAACAGACCCTCACCCTAATCTTTGTCGCTGACGCGCCCCTGACCCTCCAGTTCCCTGGTACGTGCTGAGATCGGTGGAGGACAATGATGGCGGTGGGTGGGAACCTGGCTGGCAGACATGCGCCAGAGCAGAGGTGCACCTGGTGGCTGCCTGTGTGAATGGTCTATTTGGGGGACAGGGCAGAAGTCACTGCCCCGACCCTGGCCTCCCAACACTGACCACACCATGGGACAGTGTCTGCCCCGGACTCAGGGTGCTGTTGCCTTGCTTGCCTGTTAAGGATGCACAGCTGGCTTGCTAGTGGCCCTCCTCGGCATTCCCCGCCCCTCCTTCCCTCCCCTCCAGCACCTGCCCTCCACCTCACCTGCCCAGCCAATTTCCTCACCCTCCCACTCCAGCCCTCTTTGAAACCTCACCAAACACTCCCCCAACCCACGACCCTTGCAGACGTGGCCACCCTCAAGGTGTGGCACAGGGGCCTCAGGCTCGCCCTCGACCTGGCTCTGGCCCCTGAGGGCGGTGACGAGCCCGACCTCGAGCGCGAGGCTGCCACCGACACGGCACCCCTGCTGCATTCCCCTGACGGGGGCCGAACCGGCTCGGCGCATCCCAGCCTGACCCGCCTGGCGCGCCGCCTGGCCGTGTTCCTGGTGCCCAGGGGGGCGGAGGGCATGGGGGCCACCCCCGCCTCCCCCTCCCCCTCCCAGGTGAGGAAGCGGCGGCGGCTGGCCTCGCACCTGCTGCGCCTGGCCATGCCCACCCGCCGCTCCTCCCTGGGCGGCACCGACAGCCACGCATCGCTGGGCAGCCAGGAGTCAGGCCGGGCCGGGGAGTCGATGGCCGCTGTGCACGGGGAGCCGCCCGCAGCGGCGGCACCGGGCGAGCGGGCCACCGGGACGGCCGAGGCAGACGTCGACGCCCCAGACCTCCTCCCCTCACCGGGCCTGCAACCGCCGGATGCAGCGGCGCCGTCGCCGGACAGGGGCCCCTCGGGCGCGGGCGGCGCCGGCGCGCCCCCCTCGAGCGCGGGCGGCGCCGGCCCCCCGCTCCCTGCGCCACCACAGCCCCCCCCGCCCGCCCGCGACGAGGAGGTGGCGGCGCGGTACCTGGCGGCCATTGCGGCGGGGGGCCTGACTGCGGAGCTGCCGGCGCTGACCCGGCAGCCCAGCGGGAAGCTGGATGAGTCGGCGGCCACCACCTCGTCCCGCACTTCGGTGACCTGGGCTTTCGACCCCGTCCCAAGCAGCCTTTCGCGCAGTCCGCCGCGCGGCGCCGCGCGGCCGCGCGGCGCCTCGCCGCGCAGCCCCCCCCCCTCGCTGCCGCCGCCGGCCTCGCTGCCGCCGCCCACGCTGCCCGTGGACGTGGTGGAGTACGGCGACCTGGCCTGGGGCCGGCTGCTGGGCGTGGGCAGCGAGGCTCGGGTGCACGCGGCTCGCCTGCGCGGCGCCGCGGTGGCGGTCAAGTCCTTCCCCGTGGCCTCCGACGCGCTGGCAGAGGTGCAGATGTACCTGGCCGCGGGCGCGCACGACAACATCGTGGGCCTGCGGGGGCTGTGCCGCCACGCCGGCGCGCTGCACCTGGTGCTGGAATACTGCCCGCGCGGCACGCTGGACGTGCTGCTGCACCACACCGCGCGACGGCCCTGGGACGCGGGCAAGCTGCTGGACATGGTGCACAGCGTGGCCGCTGGGCTCGCCCACCTCCACGCCCGCGGCATCCTGCATCGCGACCTCAAGCCGGCGTGAGTTTCAGTTGGTTGTTTGGGAGGGGGGGGAGGGATGTTCTGGGCGGGTGGGGGAGGGAAAAGGGTGGGGGCCCAAGGGTCGAGCAACGTTTGACTGGGGGGGCGGGGCGCACTGGAGCTTGGGGCATGCAGACCGGCCGCTGTGGCCCGGCTTCTGAGCCACTCTCCTCTGGACTCTCCTGTCCATCCTCATCCTCACCACCCGTACACCCAAGAACCTACCTTCCCCTCCCCTCACCCTCATCCTCTCCCTTCCTGCCCATCCCCCAGCAACATATTCGTGGGCAACACGGCCACGAGCATGAAGATCGGCGACTTTGGCTGCTCGCGCTGCACCCAGCCCGACCTGGCCCGCCTCACGCCCAATGTGTTGGGCACCGTGCAGTATGCCGCGCCAGAACTCATCAATGAAGACCTGCTGCCCCCGCCAGGTGGGATTGTTGTGGAGAGGGGTTGGACAGGGGAAGGGTTTCTTGAGGGGGGGGGTTGAAGAGGGCCCTCGAATGTGGAAAACTGTCAGGAGCGGACGAGGCGGTCAGGCCGCCCGGCGCCCGGCCGGCTGGATCATGACCACATTGAGAGGATCCAGGCAGCGAGACGAGAATTACCAGTGCAGGATCTCGGCAAACTTCTTCCCCTTACTTCCACAACCGATGACACCCCATTCCACAGGGAGTGCCCCCGACTGGCCCCTGTGCCTGGACATCTGGTCCCTGGGCGTGGTGGTGTGGGAGATGCTGAGCCGGCGCCGGCCCTTCGAGGGCCTGCCCCAGACGGCGGTGCAGGCGCGGTGGCTGGCGCGGCAGGTGGACGCGCGGCTGCCGGAGGTGCCGCCCCCTGGGCCGGGCACGGCGCCAGAGGTGGCGGCGGTGCTGACGGGGCTGGCGCGCCTGTCTCGGGACTGCATGGCGCTGCGCCTGGAGCGACGGCCCCAGATCGGGGAGGTGCTGCGCAGGGTGCAGGAGTTGCGGGCGTGCCTGCCCGCGGGGGCCGGGGCGCTCGTGTAAATTTTGTGATCGAGGGCATGGGATTGGGGGCCGCGAGCGTGGGAGGGGTCCTACAGAAGGAGTTTGGGCGTGGGGAGCCGATGTGACAGGGGCAGCAAGGAGGGGAGGGCGGGGGCTCCAGGATGAGGGATCAGAGGCCCGGCTGGTGAGAGAAAGCCAACGCAAATTCAATGGTCTATTCTGACGCCGTGCTTCCTGGGTCATCTTCCTCGACCACCGCCTCGTCTCTAAAACGCTCTGTGGCGGTTCAGGAGGAGCCGACAGGAATGACACACTCCCCTGGCAGCTCCCTCCCACCTGAACCAGTCTGAGGCATGCATTGACAAGTTGAACGGGACAGTGCATCTCCCACGAGACTGGTAACGCACGACTTGGACGCCCTGGGCATGCACATGCAGTTAATGCTGGGCCTTCGCACGCGAAGGCGGTGGGAAGGAAGCCAGCCAGAACAGGGGGGGGCCCCGGTTCCTCGCGCGCGCGAAGTTTACAACCCCCCTGACGCGTCGCGAGACTGCCACACCCAGTAGACCGCAGACTGCGCTATGCTCACAGTCGCTCCTCAAGAAAATCAAGGGATATAGTTTTGTGTGCCAGCCACGTGCGAAAGAGGGGGTCACCCCCAGCGCCAACTTCGACCACTCCTCTGAATGTCGGAAGCCAGGAGGCGGAGTCGGTCGCCAGCGGTCGAGAATGGGAAGGAAGACGGCCGACCTCTCCTCGAGCTGGACGATGACAACGACCCACGGGGCATCAAGCGCAAACAGCCTGTGCAGGGCAGGAGCTTCAAAGTGATCGGCCACATGGTCTTGGCCATGCAAAGGTTCAAGGGTGAGCCATTGCTTAGGATGATGTCTTTGAGGATGTCAATATACCTGTAGCGGTAATGCGCACCAGGTGCAGAATGCCCCCTGTCACGAGCCTGAGGTTAATTCTGTGGGCGCTGGCACTTCCAGCCCCATTGCGACACAAGCTGACATTTTCTCTGTCCTCCATTACAAATCCACTTAGCTTCACTCAATCCAACGTATACGTATGGCAAACGCCCAAGCATCAGCTCTCCAGGGCAGAGTGTGAGTCGCGCAGGAGGTTAAAGGCATGTGCGATTGCGTCATTGGCTGAATGAGAAGATCATGGTGAAACAGGATGCCCATTTGCTGATGCTCAAGGACTTTCCACGTCTTGTTGCAGCAAGGCACAGAGAGCGGCGAGGCTGGGGTGGCTGGTCTTCCACACTCGCGATCCATCGGATCTGAGCGGGGCAGTGAGCCCGCTCCGGAGCAGTATGTATATGCTGGCCGGGGTCACAAGGCCGACTACCTCTTCAAATCACTGCCCAAACCTGACCCGCCTCTAAAAGTCCAGGACTCAAGTGGCGGTTGAGCAGCTGACATCCCTTCTTCTTGCCGTGCGCTGGCCTGAATATATGGTTGTATTTTCTCAACCTTGCAGCTGTCCCAATCATGCGTCTGTGCCTGTGTCGCCCCCCGCCCCTCTGATTCACAGCAATTTTCTTTCTGTAACATGACAAACAGCTTGCTGTTCCTCTTATCAGGGCGAGTGGCCTTAAGTGGAGACAATCAGCTGCTCAAAGGTACACCGGAGAGCCATGGCAAATTGCATTACCTCACGACAGCTTCGCCTCATAAACGCCAATGACACATCCAATTAGGTGAGCGGGACGCAAAGTTTGATCACCGATTAAGTTGTGCACAGTGCCGCCCATCCGTCGTAACCTAAATACATGATAAAAGAGAGCCTCTATAAAGGTTTTCTAAACTTTGCTCTTCTGCCAAGGCAGCCCCGATCGTCTCAAGGGCGCACGCGTCTACTGCGCAGCAACGAGGGTCGTCCCCCGCATCATGGCTCACACAATCCCCACCCCCACGTACGATGCTTATTCACTTGTTTCTGTAGGTCTATCATATGGGTTTGCCCTGTGATCGTGCTTGGGGTCCTGCTGTCCCGCCTGTGTGACTTGCATGGACCGGGTACCGGCAAGTGCCCCCTGAGAGTCGTGATTAAGGCACCGTTTTGACACCGAACACCCCATACATCCACCAAGCCCTGGAATCTCCTACTCTTATTTCAGGAATGGAGCTGCCCCCTTGTTCACACCCTATAAACGCGGCGTGCTGGACCTCTCCCATCGCTTGGTGTATGCCCCTCTGACTCGCTGCAGGTAAAGCACACCATTTTTGTGGCCTGGCAATGAATAGAAAAGGTGGCACCAGCGTGTGCAAGGGAGCTGCAACGTGCGCCTGGCAGAATAGGACCCAGTGGGCTAGAGTGTCGCAGGGCATGCTCGACATGGGCAGCTGCAGATGGCAATCCAACCCCCAACCCACACTTCTCACTGTCAGGGCCCCGGACAACATCCCCCTCGACATCCATGTGGAGTACTACACGCAACGTGCCACCAAGGGAGGCCTGCTTATCAGCGAAGGCACCATCATCAGCGACAGGTGAGCCTGGGATGGGGTGGGGAAGCAGAGCATGCGCTTTCATCGCCTCCTCAACGAGTCTGATGTGCGAGGTGGGCGGTCGTGTCTGCCACCCTTAGCGGCTTCAGGCCTCAGCGGCATTCTCCTTCAGCCCATCGGGTCCTCCAAACTCACAGCCTCACACTCACACCCACACCCCAGGGCGTCCGGCTACCCATCGGTGCCCGGGATTTGGACCCAGGAGCAGGTGGAGGGCTGGAAGCCCGTGACCGCCGCGGTGCACCAGCTGGGCTCCACCTTCTTCTGCCAGCTGTGGCACGTGGGCAGGGCCTCTGCGCCTTGCTACCAGCCCGACGGGGGCCTTCCTCTGGCCCCCTCCGTGCTCCCCATCCCACCAGAGTGGGAGTACTTTGACACGAAGCTGGGCAAGCCACAGAAGTACCCCCTGCCGCGCGAGCTGGCCGCCGAGGAGCTGCCCGGGATCGTGGAGCAGTACCGTGTGGCGGCCCGGAACGCCATTGCCGCTGGTTTCGACGGCGTGGAGATCCACGCCGCCAATGGTGAGCCTGGGTGTGGGGGTTGGGAAAGTTTGGTGTTGCAGGAGCGGGAGGGGCAGGCGGGTTGTCAAGAATGTGCGGAAGAACCTAGTCCCCATGGGTTCCAGAGCCTGGCCTTGCTTCATCCGTCAGCTTGAACCCCCCTCCACACCCCAACCCACCCACTCCAGGCTACCTGATCCACGAGTTCCTGAGCGAGAGCTCCAACCACCGCACCGACGCCTACGGCGGCCCCATCGAGAATCGGGCCCGGTTGGCACTGGAGATCGTGCGAGCCGTGGTGGAGGAGGTGGGCGCCGAGCGCACCGGCATCCGCTTCTCCCCCTTCAACGAGTTCCTGGGCATGCACGACGCACACCCCTTTGCCCTCTACACCTACCTGCTGGAGGAGCTGGCGGCCTGGGATCTGGCCTACGTCCACATGGTCACCCCCATCGTGAAAGGGAACGTGGACCACCCGGAGGGGGAGGGCTCGCTGGAGCCCTTCCGCGCGGTCTGGAAGGGCACCTTCCTCGTCGCCGGCGGGTTCAAGCGCGACTCCGCGGTGGCGGCGGTGCGTGAACACCACGCTGACCTCGTCACCGTGGGTCGCCACTTCCTAGCCAACCCGGACCTGCCCCGGCGCTGGGCACTGAACGCGCCCCTGAACAAGTACGATCGCTCCACCTTCTACACGCCCGGCGTGAAGGGCTACCTGGACTACCCCTTCCTGGAAGACACCGAGGAGGGGAAAGAGTTCTTGGCAAGCTTGAAGCCCGAGGCCAATTGAACTTGGGAATAGTGGCAGCCCCTACTTTCCTATCCTCTGGCCACGGCACATGTCGTTCATCTGCTCCCCGTCCAGTTTTGCTTCCCAACCCAAATTCTTACGCACTCTTGTACACTGTTGTGTGCAGCACGGGGACTTGTGATCCCCATCAAGACCTCTGCCTGTGGCACCGTTCTTTCTCAAGGTACGCCTTTTGTTGCACAAGCGATGAACGCAGACCGGCAGACCCAGGGGAAGGGGGGGGGGGCGGGGTTGGAGGTGCAGGTCAGCACCAGCGGTGTTGGGATAAACTCGAGCAGTCAGAACGCCCTCCTTCACTCCTGCACCACACCCGCTTCCCCGCGCTCGTGAAAGTACGTTGTCGCGGGATCCACCTCCACGCGCCAGGCCAGGCGGGCCACGGCGTGGGCCTGGTCCCGCGGCCCTTCCTCGACCCGGCCAGGGACAGGTGGACCAGGGACGGCACAGCAGGCCCAGCGCAGGCCGGGCACGCGCAGCATGTTGTGTGCCCCCAGAGCCGCCAGCAGGGGTGCCTCGGCGAAATCGAAGCCGCGCGCCGCCAGGGCCGGGTGCAGCCTGGGATCCTGGGCATCGGCCCCGCCCGCCGCGCTTTCCACCTTCACGCCCCCTTCCGTGGCCCCCGCCACCAGCACGTCGCCCGCCGGGCCGAGGGCGGGCACCACCACGCGGCGCGCGCCGGCGCTGCCCGCTGCCACGCGCAGGGCCGCGATCATGAGCGCCGCCAGGCCCTGCCGCCGCAGCTCGCGGCGCACGGCCAGCAGGGGCACCTCCAGCGCGAGGGGCCCCAGCGCACGCAGCGCTGCGGCCGCCACGACCGTGGTGCCGGCGCGCAGGGCCGCCACGTGATAGGCGGAGAGGTCGCCGGCGTGGCCGGGGCGCGCGCCGGGCACCGCCTCGCCCGCCAGCAGCGCGTCCAGCAGGTCGCACCCCGACCGCGAGTCGAGCAGGGGGCCGGCGGCGCCGCGCAGCACCAGCCGCGCGGCGGAGAGCAGGGCGCGCGACGCCTCGGCGTCGTGTCTTGGGACGGTGGCGGGGGCTGATGGGGGTCGGCGGCCCGCATCGCCATCGGCCGCGCCAGCATCGGCCCGCCCCGTGCCGACGGCCGCCACCGCGGCGCAAGACAACAGCGTCAGGGTGAGGGGCCGGCCGTCGGCCAGCACGCCGACGGGCACTGCGCCCGCCAGGCACAGCCGCCGCAGCGCGGTGCTGGGGTCGGGGGCTCCTTCTTCTGGGACAGGGGCGGCAGCTGTGCGGCGCAGGTCGCTGGCCGAGGCGGCACCACCCCTGGGAGTCGGCGCACCCGCATCGCCCTTCACACGCCCCGGACGCCGGGCCCTCTTGGGTGCGCGCTGCGGCGCACCCTCCCCTTCCGCCGCAGCCGCATCCAGGCGGGGGGCTGGGGTCCCCGCCGCCGCCCTCAGCGCGTCAAAGCAGCAGGTGCCGGGCCGAGTGTCGGCCTCCTTCACCACCCTGTCCGCGTCGCCTTCATCCTGGCAAGCGTCTGGCTGTGGTATTGCCGTCGCGTAGCTACCTCGCAGGTCCTCTTCGCCATGGACCGCATCGGTGATGGCCAAGGGCTTGGCACCGAGATAGCCCGCTGGGATCAGGCTGCTGGCCGATGCGAGGGGGAGCAGGTGCACCTTGGCGCCCCGGCCGGAGGCGTGCTCCCCTTGCAGCCGGACACACAGGGGGCACAGCCACAGATCGCCAGGCGCAGCGGGGGGCAGGTCGAGGCATTCGCTGCAACAGGCAGCCGGACAGGCGGAGCATCTCAGGTCGGGGTCCTGGGAGCGAGGGGTGCCAAGGACCAAGATGTGTCGAGTCGGGTCCAATACCAATGTGTTCTTGGGCAAGTGCCCTACAAGAACATGGAAGATGCCTCGTTTGCTTCCCATCAGAAAGCAAGAGGAAGCCCCCTATTCTACCTGCCGTCCAGAGAAGAGGCAGGTGCGGTCGTGGGGACCCTCGGTCTCCTGCTCTGGGGCCTGGGCGCCGCTCAACCGCCCAGCCTGGAGCATCGCCTCCTGCAGAGTCTGCCCGCTCACCGTGTGGATGTGCTGTGCAGGCCTGCGGTACCTCGACCCTACATGTCCAGTGGGTGGGTAAGAGGCGGTCCGAACACAGAGTCACCTTCTGCACGTACATGTGTGGGTGGGTCAAAACCGTGCACGCCCATACGACCTGGACGCAAGGGGCCCTGAATGCACGGTGATACCTCTGTGGAAACCAGGATCGCGCATCGAGTCTGCTCGGACCCTCCCCACCAACCTGCTTGCGCCTCAAACGCCGTGTAGGTAAGGAGGTCAGAGCAGCCTGCCACCTCTATACCCCCATGCCGCGCCAGCCCCACCAGCATCAGTTCGCCTTGGTTGCTCTGCAAGTCAGCACAAGAAGGCGCTGGGGGGTACCACATCCGACACAGGTCCAGACTGGTGGGCACTGCACCATACACAGCTTAAGATGGGGTCTAGGCACTGACAGATAGGCGACGGTCGTACCCGATATCGGAGGAGCTCGCCGTCCGATACAAGGCCCGCATCCAGCAGACCATCTATCAGTGCGATTTTCTTTCGCTCCATTGAAAGGTGCTCACAATTCAGCGCAGCGAAAGCGCAGCCTACGAGGAGCACACGGATACGAAGGCATCAGATTGGCCATGGACTTATACCAAGGGACACATTTTGCCAAATTATGAAAACATAGTTTATTTATATATAAAGATCACCGAGTTTATCATATGTGAGGGCTCTCTAAATCCAGGTGCAGGATCTCGGCGGATCCTGCCACAATTTGACCGGGAACCCCATGCCCGTTCATTTCCTAATGGACCAATGTCAGCTCAAGTCCCCATGACACCCCTAACGCCTTCCTACGCCCCTCATCGCTCACCCTGCAACTTGTGCTCCATGTCTGCACCAGCACTTTATTCATCCGCCAGGACACATGCTGCGCAGGTGAGTGTTGGGCTGAGGTGCCATGCGCGTTCGTACCTGTTGCCCCACCCCCAATGCCTCTCTACATGCCCCGCCTCCTCGCACGCCGCAGCTGGCTGGGCAGACATGGTTTTCGGGACCCTTCATTCCCCCAATGAACGAGCGGCGACATCGACTACCCTGTCGAGGGGAGGTCTGCGTCGTCCGGGCTCACCATGGGAGCGGGGATTGGAGGGGAGCTGGGGGGAAGGTAGTTGCTGGAATGGCCCTGGCTGCCGCCATTTCCCTGAGCCGTAAGTTGGTTGGTGGGAAAGGGGCTGCAGGAAATGATTCAAAATCATGTTCCTGGGTACAAGATTGAAGGATCAATGCTGGGATCCTTTATGAGCTGCCTCATGCTAGCTGTCTGCCTTTTTATCGACCGCCCCTCCTATTTGTACAGCGGCACTCCCCAGCCTGGCAGCAGACATGGTGAAGACCGGGACCTGTCTCCTGCAAAAGTGTCAGCCGGAGCTGGCGAGGTGCTTGATAGATGGGGAGTGCGTGGAGAACCTCGTCTGCCTCCAGGTCTGCAATGGGAAGGACGATGAGAGCGGGTGCCAAGTAAAATGTGCCGATCGGTACAAGAATGACATTATCGACAAGTTCAACGCCTGCGCCATTACCTCTGGAGGCTGTGTGCCACAGAAAATTGAGAAGGGTAGGCTGGGATGGGTTATGTTTGCTGGACTACAGAGTCCCTCCCAGCTGGAGATGTAGGGTAATGCAGGCCCCCAGCTCATCAGCGTAAACCATACCACTCTCTGGGGCCGTCCAACCAAAGAGCTTTCACCTGCCCTCCACAGACACATGGAAGGCCCCGCCGGCCTCGGCCATCGATCGCGCATTTGACCCCGAGCTGTTCCAGGGCCGCTGGTATATCACCGCAGGCCTGAACCCCCTGTTCGACGTGTTTGACTGCCAAGAACATTTCTTTGCGAGCCCTAGCCCAGGCAAGAACGGGGGGTCCGGGGGGAAAGGGGGGTGCTGAAGTGCTGCATGCGCGTGACTGAGCGAGACATGGTGGGGCAAATACCATGACAGCAGGACCCGCTGTCTCCTCCTCCTGCTGCGTATGCCCCATGAGGGGTGACGACGCCCAGTGTCTCAAACTTGGGTCGAGGCCTTTTGGTTGCCGTCCTTTTTGCGCACACTGGGTGCAAGCTTGATACCTGCTTCTCAAGACTGAGGTGTCTCTCATGCAGAGTAAAAGCACCTGCACTCCTGCCCACAGGATCCTTGTACGGCAAGATCCGCTGGCGCATCCCCAAGGGCAGCTCTGACTTCATTGAGCGCTCCACGATGCAGAGGTTTGTGCAGGACCCAGGGAACCCTGGTGTCCTGTACAATCACGATAATGAGTACCTGCACTATGGTACGACCACGGTCCCAGCAGCTGGGGGCATGGAGGGCATGCATGGGATTGCATGCTGGCAGCTTGGTAGGCGATGCGACGGGCCCTTCACCAGCCCCGCAGTGATTGCGGAGATGGATGCTTGCTTTCTCACGCACCGTTTCCTTCCCATGCCTGTTGTTGCAGAGGACGACTGGTATGTTGTCGGCTGGGAGCCTGATTCATATGCCTTCATTGTGTACAAGGGACAGAACGATGCCTGGAAAGGGTATGGCGGAGCCACTGTGTACACCAGGTTCGTAAATGTGCGGTCCAGGGGAGAGTGCACAGGCCAGACACTCTGGGGCTGCCTTGCAACATGCGGCACAGGTTGCCGTAGCTGCTGCCATGCCGGGTGTGTAATTGCAGCAGGTCCACCTGCCCTCCAACAGTTCCCACACCTCACCCCTGTGCCATTGCACCGGCAGTCACTCACCCCCCGTATGCTGCCCCATCTACAGGGACTCCTCATTCCCACCCGAGCTCACAAACAAGATGCGAGAGCTGGCGAGCCAAGCCGGACTGAAATGGGAGGAGTTCAAGTTGACAGACAACTCGTGTGGACCCCACCCACCCCAGCGAGGTGGTATGACAGACTTCGAGCGGGAGGTGAGTGGAGTGGGATTCGGTGAAAGTGTTTGCGTCCATGGAGACTCTCGGGCTCACAAGGGTGAGTGCAGATGTCGACATAATGATAGTAGGCCCCCAAACAAAGCTGCAAGATGGTGTTGACTTTGTATCTCTCTGTGCTCTGCACTCCTCATGTGAGGGCTCAGGAAGCAGCACTTCACCAATGCACTGCTTGTGCGCCCCTGACACAGATGGATGACCTGGCAAGGGACGAAGCTCGACAGGGTCTTGCATCCTTCAGTAGGGGACTCACAGTGATCGAACAGCGTGCTGAGAGAGCAGAGAGAGGTGAGGGGGCGGAGGACCTGACATGGTTAAGTTTGCAGAAGAAGGAATATTGGCTGCCGCCTCACCCGGATCATCTTGCCTCCCTTCCATTGTGGCAGACATTGCACAGAGCGTGGTGGGATTGGAGAAGACGCTGCAGGACGAATTCTACGAAGCTGAAAAGCAGCTTGCAAGCATTGAGAAACAATTCTCTGCCAGCGGTGGGTTTGGTGCATGGCTGCAGAATATCTTCAGGTTCTGAAGGCTCCAACATTGGCCCGTGTCTCCCTGCAAGATCCTATTAGACGTGTACCCGTAGCTCGATTGAGCTTTTCCATATACATGTGTGTGTTCAGGACCACTTCCCAGCTCCCCCTGTAAGCCAATCCGCCCGCACCCCCCGGGGCGCGCAGCGGTGTGGTTCATCCGGCTAGGTGCGCGCATGCACAAGCACCACTGCTCGGGGTACTGAACATCTTCCCACTCCAAGCATGCTGTGACCTTCGCAACAAAGCATCACACCTTTGGGTGAGCATCCTCGCATCCGCTCTCACTGGGGGCCGGGCCAACCTGTGTACGTGTTTCCGTCAAGCTTGAATTCCGGACGAAGCAAAACACCCGCCCGTCTAAAGATCTGGCCCAGTTTGAGTTTTGCGCTGCCGTTGATCGTCCTGCGCCGTGGTACAAGGCAGTCTCCCGAGAGAGCTTGGTGCTGCGGAGCGCGGAGATGCTCCGCACCCGCTCCTCCACCCTCCTCCCCGTGACATCTCGCTCCCATCTAACGCGCGAGCGATCTTACAACCCGCGGAGAAGGGGCAACTCCACGTACGAGGGTCATTCCGCCCGCCCCTGCCGCACGCCTGTTCAAGGGTGGGGAAGGGCCGTCCTCAGACCATGCTAGATCCACCCACCCGCCCCCCTCTCACCGCGCCCACAGAGTGTGCAACCCCTGGGGCATCGCCCTGCTCCTGTTCCTGCTGGGCCTGGCCGGCACGGGCGCGGCATGGTGGCACTTCCGGGATGCCCCGGCCCCCGCTCGGGCCAAGCCAGTGCGGCTCGCCTCCCATGAGGCCTTCCTCAGCAAGCACAGCAACGCCCACCTGCTGGAGGAGCGGTTTGAGCGCGAGGTGCAGCGTCGGCGGGATGGCGGCGACGGCGCCCTGGGCGCCCAGGGGCAGGCCGACGCCAGCCTGGGCCTGGGCGCGCACCACGCCGAGGCGGCGGGCGCAGGCGAGGGGCACGCAGCCGTGGCCGCGGGGCACGACGACGCCGCACACGCCGCAGCGTCGCACCTGGACGCGGTCCATGCCGACGCGCACGCCGCCGCGCCGCCCTCGCTCTATGACACCTCCATCCACGGTGAGCCTGTGGCGCTGTGTGTTTGTGGGATGTGGACACAGGCGAGGTGGGGCTGCCCTTCCGTGGCAGCGGCCCCCGGCCGCCCTCCAGGGGCGGCTGCAGGTTCGCTGCGCTGCGCAGCCGAGCAGCTGGCCGGGTGGTGAATCTGGGGATGCTCCCTGCGTGAGACGCGCGGGGATGCCCGGCACGCTCGCCAGGCCCCCTGCCGCCCTGCTCCCCCCCCCGAATCCTGGCCGCCCCCTGCCACGCATCCGGCCGGGGGCTGGCACCACTCCCCCTCCCCCCCCGTCACGAGTCCCACGCCGCCCACCGCTCGCGCATGTCCCTTCCCCCCACCTCTCCCCCCCACCCCTCTCCCCCCCTCCCCCTTGCAGTGCGAGACGCGTCGGGCCAGGAGGTGAGCATGGCCGCCTACCGCGGCAAGGTGCTGCTGGTGGTGAACGTGGCCTCGCAGTGCGGGTACACCAAGACCAACTACGAGGCGCTGCAGTCGCTGTACACGCGGTACGCGGGGTACGGGCTGGAGATCCTGGCCTTCCCCTGCAACCAGTTTGGCGGCCAGGAGCCGGGGAGCCTGGCGGAGATCGCGGCCTGGGCCGCGACCACCTACCACGTCACCTTCCCGCTCATGGACAAGGTGGACGTCAACGGACCCGGCGAGACGCCGCTCTTCGCCTGGCTCAAGGCGCACACGCCCGGAGGCCCGCCCGCCGACGTCGACTGGAACTTCAACAAGTTCCTGGTGGACAAGTGGGGGGTGCCGCGCAAGCGCTACGCCTCCGCCGTGGACTACCCGCTGCTGGAGATGGACGTCTACTCGGAGCTGGTGCGGACGGCCTGAGGCAGGCGCAGCGCTCGAGCCTCGACCCAAGCCGAGCGCCTGGGGGCGTGGGGACAGCCCCGAGTACAGGGGTTGCCGGGTTGAGAGGGCAGGCCCAACCCCCGATGCCCCCTTGCCGTCCATGCTGGGTCCCCCTGTCCAAGGCCTTGCCTTACCCCTCCATCGTGATTGCCCTCCTTGCTTGGCCCGTGCTTGCCGGGGAAGTCCCCGGCCATCCCTTTCAAATCGTCAGACGTGATGTCAATCGCTCGTCATTACAACGGACTATCTTCCCCGCTTCTGGTTTGGAGAACTGGGCGGGGGGGGACAACCAGGAGAGGCACAGCTGGGGCAGGAAAGTACTGGGGTGGGGCAATGGATGGGATGGGGGTTCCCCTTTAATATCAGGAAGAGGGTACCTATGGGAGAGGACAACAGTATGAGTGGGGGCTTGGGAAAGCTCAAAGGGGCTGGTGCTACCTTCACCAGCATGCAGGCTGGAATGGGGTACCGTCATCACCGTCGGTGGGCAAGGGGCCACTGGTCAGAGCGGCCTGGAGAGCCGCGAGGTTTGGGGCTGGGAAACGGGGGAAGGGTACACGAGAGGGCCTGGTTCAGGTGGGCACAGCGTGCTCCTGGGCCTCGGCCGTGGTCTTGAGGGCGGGGCTGGGCAGCGGCTTCTCCCCGGCCAGCCGGTTCTTGTAGCTCCAGTTGCGCCAGAGGACCAGCTGCATCACGATGATCACCACGCCCTGCATCCCCGCCATGGCAGCGTACACCGGCAGGGCGCGGTACAGAACACAGCCACCGAGGCTGCAGAGGGGTTCGAAGGAAGTGTGAGTGTGTGTGTGTGTAAAAAGGCATCGGAATGTCGAGGGGGCAGGTCATGCGCGGCTCAGGGGACATACATGAACAGCGTATGGGGATGGGGGAGGTGTCCAGTGGCACCGGCATGCAGCACCGAATGCTCCAGGGCACATACTGCTTCGCCTCACCATCCCATTCCCCCCTTCCCTCCCCCGCTCGACGCACTAGTAGTCGCTGGCGGTCACCCCGCACTGCTGGTCGGCGGGTCCTGTGCAGAGGACGTCGCCTGTGGGCTCGTAGATCCAGCCCGTGGTGCAGACAAATGTGTCCCCTGGGAGAGGGCGCCGGGTCAACAAAGGAGGCATGGAGCGGTGGAGGTGCCGGGGGCTGCACATATCTTCTCGGCAAGCACTGTCAACACGCGCAGGGCCGGCGAGCTGAAGCGAGCCCAGCTCGCAGCCGGGGTCATCCAGCCACCCCTCCTCTGCACGGGGTCCAAGGGTCCACCCTTCACCCAGCACAAGCCTCCCTGCAGTCATGCAGGCACCCGCCATGGCCGCGCTCAACGGGTACCACCTCCCTCCTTCCCAGCCAGACTCACCGTTGGGCGTGGAGATGCGGGTGAGGGACCCGACGATCAGCGGCCCGGCAAAGCGCCCGGCGCTGATGGCCATGTAGAAGAGGCTGAGGTACTTGCCGATATTGTTCCCCACCACGTCCGCAAACTGGGTGACCTTCTTGGACAGGAAGGTCTCCATGCAGGTCATGCTCAAGGTGTAAGAGGCGCCCAGGAAAGCAGTCCCGACGTAGAACAGGGCCGGGGGCGGGACCCAGTCCGAGCCTGGGTGTGGGAGGTCGGTGGGCGAGGGGCTTGGGATGGGTGTGGCAGCGAGCTGGGGGGAGGGTGGGCTGCTATCCAATGCTCAACCGGATCGGCTGGGCGGGGGGGGCATCCGCCCCTCCCTGCGCTACTTCTGCCTCCGGCATGCACTCAGGCGGGTGCGGGAGGCTTCCACCCTGCGGGGTGCGACCCAAAGGGATGGTCCACCGCCTTGCCTTGCCTTCCTGCAAGGGCGCCCGCCCCCCCCCTATTCACACAACAAAACCAGACCCTCAGCACGGCGCAGGCGCACCCTTGTAGGGGATGAGGAGGAGGAACCCCACGACCAGACCCCAGCCGGTGACCAGGAGGAGAGTGCGCTCGTTGAAGAGCTGGGGCAGGCGTCTCATGCCTCTGCGGTACACTATCGCGGCCCCGATGGAGCCGCCGCCCGCGGCGATGAATGCCCTCCAGACCTGCCGGGCAGGGGTTGGGGGCCACGGTGGGGTACGGTGTGGGGAGGGAGCAGGCAGGACCCAGCCACACCTCCAGCCCCATCTAAACAAGGCATCTCACAGACGCCCCTACCCTGCTCATGACGCATCCCACCACCCCAACAGCCTCGAGCACACATCAGACTGCTGGAAGATCTGACGGTACTGCCCCGCAAAGAGGCCAAACAGGTTGGAGTACTGCGCCATGGCTGTGTGCAGGGGGAAGGGCGTGGCAGGGAGAAGGCTGGCACGCAAGGCAACAGCGAGGAAGACATCCTATGCTGACAGCCACGCACCGCGCCTGGCGCTCCACCAGGCTGGCCACATGCCTGGGCCGCCCCTCTGCCACACTCACTCAGCATGGAGACGAGGCCGCAGAGGGTGATCCAGACCCCAAAGAAGACCTGGAAGTTGCGGCGCCGCGCGGCGTCGGTCATGAAGGGAACGCCCTCCTCCTAAGAAACGTTGATTGGAGGTGGAGGTGGGGAGAGGGAGAATGAACAAGGAAATGGTGGACTCGGTGCAGGACCCCACTCTTCCTGGTCCTGTTGCCCCAGGGGGGCCTGAGCCCAGGTCGCCCTTTCCATGCCCACCTGCACAAAGTGCTCGTTTTCGGCTGTGGGGTCTGTGAAGCCCCAGATGTAGAAGAAGCAGAGAGCCGTGACGATGAACCCGGCCAGCCAGCCTGTGCGAGTGGCGGCAGGGGTGGCATGTGGGGCAGGACTCCACTGTCTTGTGTGGGGCGTGTGGGTGTTTGAAGGGCTCAGGGGCTCCATTCATACCCAAGACATCGATGCGACTGCTGGGCCCCTGGCCCGTTGCTCTCAACCCAAGAAAGGTGAGTGGCGTTGGTCCCTGCCCATACCTGGGATGGTGTACCAGTTGAAGACTTTGATGGCATCGCTGGACGAGAAGGTGGGGGAGGGCAGGCCCAGGAACATGAACCTGTGGGATTAAAAGTTTTTTTGGGGGGGTGTCTGTGTGTGTGAATGATCCCGGCCAGGAGCAGGCGGCGGCGCGCTCAGCGGCCCAACAGGCGCCGGCCCTCGGTTCATGGCCCGCACCAAAGAGCCCAGGCCTCTCACCCGATCAGCGGCCCAACGGAGCGGGCCACGTTTTGCGTGATGCGGTACCGCCCCAGTTTGGCCTGACGCTTCCTCAGCGTGGAGGTCCGCGTGATGTAGGAGCCACCGATGCCAAGCACAGCCGCGCCGGCGCCCGCCACCAGCCTGTGACGTGGGGGGTCAGGCAGGAGGGGGGAGGGGGGGGGGCGTGTTGGCGCAGGTTGACAAGGACCCACATCACAGAAACATTGCATTGGGCGGGGCTGGAATCCTCCTGCAAGCGCCATGACCTGCACCATGCCTGGCGGTCAGCCCTCCTGCGCAAAGATAACCCCAAGTCCCAGTGGAACGCTTGGCCGGGGGGGGGGGGGGGGGGCACCCCTCCCCTCCATCGCATCCCCGCATTCGCCCGGCCCCCCCTGGCGACACACTCCCCGGCCCACCTTGCCAGCAGCATGAGCCACCACTCCCCCGCCAGCACTGTGAAGCCGTAGATGTAGTTTCCCACGGCGTTCAGAGCCACGCCCAGGAGCGTGGCGCCCTTGAAGCGGTTGGTGCGGTCCACCCACCAGCCGAAGACGGGGGCGAAGATGAGGGAGGCGAGGTCGTAGGAGCCAAAGGTGAGGCCGTACAGGGACTGGCGCCCATTCACCAGGTAGTACAGGGGCTGGATGCTCATCAGCGTGGAGGAGTAGTCGACCGCGAGGGCAAAGCCGACGATGACCAGCGCCCAGTAGGACCACTTCTTGGTGCGGGCGTGCTCCGGGTCGGCGGGGAGGTCCAGCAGGGACTCCTCCCTGGGAAGGGGGTTGTTAGGTGCGGGGTTGGGAGCCGGTGCGGGCAGGTTCCTGATGTGATACAGACTGGGGCCATGGTGGGGGGCTATGGTGGTAGCACCGGGGGTGCGTGGTGCAGAGGCAAGCACCGGGAGCAGGAGCCAGAGCAGCCCTTGTTTGGCAGGGCAGGGGTATGAGCAGCCTTGAATGGCCCTGGGTTCTCGACCTACTGTGCAGGTGCCGGGAATCCGTCGGGGGGGCCCGGGGTTTGGGTGGGGGCGGGAGGGTACCCCTCTTTGCCCAACGGGACACCCTCCGCACTATCCCCTACGGGGTAGGGGCGTGCGCCGGTGTCGTCGGCCGGGCCAACAGGCGTAGTATGGGCTGCTGGCCCTGTGCTGCCGGGGGCATGGGCCCTGGAGGTGCCCCGTCTGTCCTCCAAGACATTCCGAATCCTCTGCGATGGGCATTGTGGGTAGTATCTTGCGGGGCTGCCCTCCAAGCGATGATCGGAGCATGCGGCACCGGGTACAGCCTTGGAAACATTGGAAATGCATGACAGGAAGATGAGTCCCACCCGAATCGCGTATCCGATGAGCGGCATCCTGTCTGGCGTGGGCGCCGCTAGGTGCCGAGATCGTCAGGTGGCGCAGCTCAAGGTGACGGTGCCCTCTGATTGCTTGTGAATTCACTGGATATCGAGTGAAGCCAGTGAATCGAGTCTTCCGAGCCCCTGTGACTGGATTCAACGGGCATGGGGTTTGAAAAACCATCCCTCGTACAACCCTCCGGGGAACTCAGTATGAATTCCCCCAGGGTCATGCAGAGGCTCATCAAGACGATCCTGGCAATGCGAGACAAGGTTGCATGCAGGCCTCGCCTCCTCCATGGCGGGGCTCGCATGTCATATGTTGTATGATTGTCGTGTGTGACAATTCTCGCAAAGGCGCGTGTGCGTAAGGCCGGCGCATGGCGATGCTGCGGCCGAGTCTGTGGCCGTTGGAGATCTCCCTAGCCACTACCAATTACCGCCTTGACCAGCTTCCGGCATTCTACATCAGCTGCATCCAATTTTTGCTCCTATCGAACCCCATACAGGACGCATGAACAGGGATGCAAATGATGTGCAAAGTGATTGTGAATGCCGCAAAGGGGACTACTTCTCTCGAACCTTATCCGTTCTGTGAGAACATGCACGATCATGCAGATGGGTGGTCATCGCCGGCAGGTCCCTGCCTCGTGGGCGAAATATCATTGGTTACACAGAGTTGGACTAGCGCCTACACGTGAATGGGTACTCCGCTGACAAGAGGCTCGGGCCAGAGTCTGTGTTCACCAAAAATTTCTGCACGAAAGATGTGTCCTTTGCATATGAAGGTTCTGTGGTGTATGTGGTTGTATGATCCACCTGCCAGACCCAAGAGAACTTCATCTCACCACCTGACCAGGCTTGCACGTTGTCAGCGATGTAGTCCAGGATTGTCACCATGAATGTCAAGGTACCATCCTCATTCCACACAACGGTGGCTGTGGGTACGGAAGGCGGTGGAGGGCTGGGAGGGGGTGACAGTAGTGGGCTGGGAGCTGGTGGTGGTGGTGGAGGGCTGGGAGGGGGTGAGGTCGGTGGGCTGGGAGATGGTGGTGGTGGCGGGCTGGGAGGGGGTGAGGTCGGTGGCGGGCTGGGAGGGGGTGAGGTCGGTGGCGGGCTGGGAGGGGGTGAGGTCGGTGGCGGGCTGGGAGGGGTGGAGACGATAGTGGGCTGGAAGGGGACGCAGTGGGTGGGGCAGAACTTGGCACAGGAGGTGGCTTACTGCTTGGTGGGGGGGGATTAATGTGGACTGGCTGGTGGTGGCGAGTGCCTAACGGGAGGTGGGGGAGGCGACTTCCTTGCAGATGGGGGCGGGGACTTCCTTGCAGGTGGAGGAGGCGGCGGCGATTTTGTGACGGTTGGGGATGGCAACATGGGCTTGGACGGAGGTGGCATGTTGTAATTCTTGAAGGCATACTTCCTGAGAGCCTTCAAGCTGCAAGTCTTCAGCACCTTCCGAGTTCCCGTTGCATCATTGCGACGGAGTCCGTATTCAGTGTTGTTGTTGGCCCAAATGTAGTTCTCAGAGTTGGTAGTCCCTGTGCAAGGGAAGGTCCATTGAGAGCTGAGGATGGCGGGCGACTAATTCACCGCGATCAGGACAACCAAGCTGCGACTACCCTGCCGCCATGTGACCACCAGCTTGCAATGTATGTATGTATGTACCCCCAGCTCACCAATATTGTGGTCTCCCACATTGTTGCTGCCAAAGTTATCTTTGCCCTTGTTGCCTGTACCAATGTTGCCATTGGCATCGGCCGTGCAGGCCGTCTGACCTGGCTTGAGGCACTCCACCCCCACTAGAATCTCTGTGGAGCAAGCCTTCACGGTGGCGAATGGAGTCAGGTTGATGGCGCCGACAGACAATCCCAGATTCTGGAGGGTAGCTGTCCTGATGGCACCCTGCTTGCTGTAGCCTAGCTCCCTGTCATGTACAGCCGCACGATGTTGGAAACGATGAGGGAAGCGCAGAGCGAGTCTTCCCCACAGCCTGCAGGTCACTTGCCCAGGATCACACCCTCAGGCCGCACGTGTGCTCACCTGCAATACGGCCCGCGCTCGTGGCAGTGAGGACGTATACATGCGGCCCGTATCTGCAGTTTGATCAATGGGGAGCGGTCATCAGAGTGCAACCCGGTCCGGACTAGCAGCTGCGTGCAAAGCTGTCCTCGTCTTCCAGAGGGGGTCCGCAGCTCAGTGGAGACGGCCCACCCAACGTTACTATTGTATATTTGTATACTCACATGGCGGATGGAAGGGGGTAGAACTTGGACGTGCATGCTCCCTGGCGTGTAGGAGGTGGGGTCGCTGGGCGGTGAAGGGCGGGCGTTGCGCAGCTGCATCAAATCATCCACTTCGAGTGACCTTGAATGCATACATCAAACAACATACCTTGGTTGCAACCGCAATGCTGAGCAGGCAGAGAGCGATGCCCAAACATGGCAGCAGCCCGCCTGCCCGCATACTGCTGTAAACAAGGTTGGGGCAACACACAACGGTTCCTCGGCACCAGAAGGGTGAAAATGAATCGAAAAAGTGAGTGCGATGCCAAAAGAACAATATGAATCTACGATGTGTGCTTTGGGAGTTGCTGCAATGTAGATATGCGTATATGGAGCATTGCCCCTTCCGGTGGGGGATTCGATCGGAAACGAGGCGCGGAGGAGCACGCCCTTGCAGACCGCAGCGGCCGATGTTCGCATCCGGTGATGGTCAGGTCATGTTTTAGCCATGGCCTTAGGAGTTCTGAAAGGCTGATATCTTTTATGAAAAAACCGCAATGCCAGCACAAGATCCATGGTCCTGGCCTCCAATCAGAAGGTGTTCTGCCGCAAGCCGTACCAGGCAAGGGCATTCGGTCCACTCAAATTCCTTGATGGTCGAGCGGCAGGGTTGCCACTACGAATTTAGTTTTGCTTCTTAAGCTGGATGAATAGGGAAAGGGGGGAAACAGTGTTCGACTGACATTGCAGGGAGAAGGGAAACGAAACTACCCGCTTCCTTAGACATCTATGCAGTCCTTGCCAGCCCCACTCCACCTTTCAATTAATACAGTTGCGATTCAGATTTACGCCGATGCAAGGTGTCGATGCTTGAAGTTTCACCTTGCGTGCATGCCGGGAATCCCTGACATCTGTTCCCGAGGAACAGGCCACGGGCTAATCTTTACATTTTCGCAAACCGGTCACACTTGGCATGTTCACATTGGATGCATATTTGGCGTAATGGACGAGATCGTGGTGTATCACGTTCGCGCATGAGACTGGACGAGGCACCCTCTCAGAGCTCCTGTCTAATCAGCACGCGTCCCTGGGGCCGCTCCCCGCTCGCATCCCTGTTCGACACCAGGAATCACCCTTTTACTAATAAAAGTATTCCAAATCAAATCTCGGAAAGAAGAACTCTAGCGTTAAAGTCATGTCCTTCGCAGTGGCATTTCAACCTCTGGCGCTGACCTTCCGGAACAGGCCCTGCAGTTCTCGGTACGCTGCACGACGGCTTGTCTGCGCTGTCCCACACAACACCGTCGATCGCCTTGCGTCCAAGAATTGTACGCCTTGCGAGAGCGATGGAGGCAGCCTCGACCAGATGGGTTTTTGCTTGGCTCTCGACCAGGCTACCGCGAACAGTATGTGCGAACAGGTACGAGATGGTCGTCTCCACGGTGTCTCCCCTTGATCAGGAAACTGGGGCATGGCAGGCGTTCTATTGCCCTGAATTGCCGGCGCTCGCTCTCGTGTTGCCTGTTGTCATCCCTCTCATTCCCCTCACCCTCCCCTGCACCCTCGCAGTTGTCTGGCTGGACAGTGACAGAGGATGGGCATGGCTACCTACGCCTGCGCCAGCAGTACCGTATGAAGTCCTTCCTCAAGGCTCTGGAGCTTTGCGATAGAATTGCTGAGGTGGCAGAGGCTGAGGGGCACCATCCTGATGTCCATGTGACCGGGTGGAACAGGCTGGCAGTGGAGCTTTGGACCCACTCCAGGCATGGCTTGACCGAGGTGAGAAAAGGAAGAGGATGCCAGGAGCTTGCATGTCACTTGCTCACGCCTCAAGCTTTCACAATGAAGCATTTATACATATTGATGGCCCTTCTGCAGAATGATTATATCATGGCTGCAAAGATCGACGCAATTCCCAAGGACGACCTGCTTGGAGGGAAGAAGAAGAAGTTTGGTGACATCTGAAGTACAGCCACAGAGGGATTGGGATTGGCCTTGATGACTGTCCTTTGCCCCTTCCAAAGGGGCACCAATTTTAGATCCCGTCCTTCAGAGACAGTTGAATCCGTCCACCATGCAATCTGGCGGGGGTCACCGAGGGAATCAGGTCACTGTGAATAATCTTCTTTGAATGGACTTCACGTTGGTGAGCCCAGTGCTTTTGTCTGGCATGTACGTGGAGAAAATGCTGTACATCTGACAGCCACTTTCTGCGGAGGGTTTGCCATCAAGCTGTACAAGCACGCCTCGGCACGCCTAGAGCACAGCACACTAGAAGTGGTGCAATGTCACGCCACTGACTACCCAGACATTGCTCCGTGGTGTCGTCTCGGCACTCCTCTGCACACCTTTTGGTTGGAGAATGGGGATGGGAACCAGGGCAAGTTGCTGCGCGCGCGACCGAAATCAGGGAAAGCGAACAAGCGGATGCCCGGGTGCCTTTGTATGTTCCCTGGAGGAGAAATGGCAGGTCGATTCTGAGCATCTCGAACGTCTGAATCGAGCGGCAGGACCACCCCCTTTGCAGCGCAGGGCCAGCGAGGCCCGTGCCCTGCGAGGATGGTCGGGAAGGCGGGGGGACATCGGCCGGGCAACGATGTCCTGCCCACATTCCCAACCCTGCAGGAGTATGATCTGAGCTTGCGGGCCTTTAATGTGCCCAGCGCGCCCCGAAGCACCACGGCCACCATCCCATTCACACCCCAGGTGAGTGTGACACAGAATCCGCACGGCTGTTTCTGCATGCCCAGGATCTCCTGCTCAGCCTGGGAGGGCATTGAGATCTCTTGAGTGCGGGAATGTGGCATCTATACAGCCGTGACGGGTCCCTGGTCGGGCCCCTAGTCACTGCCGACCCGGTTCCTCCCCTTACCATCTTGATTCTCCCCTCAGGAGGTGGTGGGCCGCACCATCCACGTCACGTTTGACATCGAGAGCGCGGAGGGCGACCTGGTGGTGCGCTTCTTCCGGGGCACCATCCGCAGCTTCCGCGCCGCCACAGGCAAGCACACCGTCGCGTACAGCGACGGCGAGGTGTCCCAGGACGACCTGACCCAGGAGGTGGTGGTCTGGGCGCCGGGGGTCGTGACCACGCCCGGCGCGGCCTGGCCCAGCGAGGGTCGGGAAGCCGGCCCGACGGCGGGCGAGGCGCCCGCCCCCGGCGGGGCGGCGGGGCGGCGGGCGGGCGTGCGCGCGCAGCCCGGCGCGCCTCGTGCGCGGGGCCGGCGGCATGCCTCCAGTGGCGGCGACAGCGCCACGGGGGGGGACAGCGGGTCCGACTCCCCCCGCGGAGGCAAGCGGCGGCGCCGCTGGGGCAGCGCCGGCAGCCAGGGTCCCAGCATGCTGGCCCGCGAGGGAGGGGACGACGCCGAGAAAGGACCTGAGGCGGAGCCGGGCGAGGCCGCCGAGACGAGGGTGGCGGGGCGGGCGAGGCGGCGGGCGGCGGCCAGGCCCGGACCGGCCGGGAGGGGCGAGGCCGCTGGCCCCAGCCCCGCTGCCGAGCCTGGGGGTCTCGACGCGGCCGCGCCTGGCGGGCTCGAGGACGCCGGGGCTCCAGAGGGTGTGGCCTGGATGCGGGCCCCAAAGCCAGACCCTGAGCCTGTTACCACGCAGGGGGACGAGGCGCGGGACGCAGCCGCGCCTCCCGCGGGTGACGCTGCCCCTGTGGAGGCAGCCCGGCCCAGCGCCGACGGGGCGCGGGACGCTGCCGTGGCAGTCCCTCCTGCATCCAGTGCAGACCCCAATCCGGCGCACCATCCAGAGACTGAGTCCCTGCACAGCACGGTGGATGCCGAGCGGGTTGTGCTTGCGGAGGACGAGCGGGATGCTGGCGTGGGTGCGGGGGGGAAGCCTCGCAGAGATGTCGAGCGTGGCGCTGGCGAGGATGCGGAGCGGCGTGCCTGCGACAGCGCAGAGCGGGAAGCTGCCGCGGAGGGCGACATCGCAGTTGCAGGGCAGGAAGGGCGTGCGAGGAAGCAGGAGGACTCCGGCAAAGGCGAGGCCGGTCTGGGAGCCTACACTGTCAACCCGCAAGATGACGCTGCGATGTCTGTGGAGGAGCCAGGGGGCGCTGACCTGGCGGCTGCGCCTGACCCAGGAGCGGACGAGGTGCCGTTCTCAGCTGAGCCGGGTGCGCCAGCTGGCACTGCCATGCCTATCAATGTTGAAGCGACGACTGGCGACGCTGGCAACGGGGCTGCAGTAGCGACAGCATTGGTCAAAACCCAAGATCCAGCGCCGGGCGACGTGGCGACGCCTGCCGCAGCCCCAGCGGCCTCGGGCCCAGACCACCAGGCCCTCGCAGTCACCCCTGCAGCCGTGCCACCGCTGCAGGCCCAGGCCGTGGGGGAGGAGGGTGCAGGGCCCCCGACGACCACGCCCCCAGCCACGCAGGCCACGCGCGCCGCGACGCCTGCCGCGGCGCGGAGCTCCGTCAAGCAGGCGGCGCCGGCCTCTGCGAGGCCGGCGCCCCCGAGGAAGCCCCTGCCAGCCAGCCTGGCCTCGCCCACGTCCCCGCTCGGCCCGCAAGGAAAGGCCGCGCGTGCAGCGTCGGGGCTGCAGGGCCCCGGCGCCACACCGCCGGGCCCCGAGCAACCGCTCGCAGGCGAAGGCACGGAGCTGCAGCGTGAGCCTTTCCTTTGGCGGGGGGGGGGGAAGGGGGAGGGTGGCTGCAGCGGGCTTGCCGATTGGCGCAGGGGTGTGCAGGAGAGGTAGTCTGCTTGCTTGCTGCCAGAGTGCACGCGTTCCGCCTCCCGCCGTCCAACTGCCTGGATCGGCCTGCGCAGGGCTGAGGAGCGCACAGAGCCACCTGGACTCCGCCGCGCACCGTTTCTTCCAGTGCATCGACACCGCGCTCAAGGCACGTTGGTGTGAAGAGGGTGGGGGGTGGGAGCATACTGTCACGGCCCAAGGTGTCTCCCGGGCATGCTGCCTGCCGAGTCGAGCCATGTGCTCGCCCGTCGTATCCCTCCCCTCGGCCCAGATGGCATGTGTCGTGGCACGGGCGTCACAGCCTGCATCATGCCTCCCGCCCCTCCCGCGCCATGCCCCACACAGACGGCTCGGGAGATGCAGGCCGTTCTGGATCAGGTGGCGGCGGCAGCACCCTCCCCCAAGGCGCTGTCGGCCGCCAATGGGTTGGCCAAGTCGGTGAACCGCTGCGCCAAGGGCACTGCCAGGCTCTTTGGGGCGGGGGCCGATGGGCCCCTGGACCAGCTGCACGATGCCAGCCTCGGCCTTGCCCTGCTTTCCAGGTGAGATGGCTGGAACATGTGGGGGTGGCGGGGGGGGGGGGG